TTGCCAGCTCTCCTTTCCAATGGCTAACAGTACATTCTTGCTATATATGTGCAAACACATGCTGAATTTGTGAGATCAGAGACTGGATATTTACTGTTAGCAAGAGAGTATTTGTCTATAATTCACAAGTATAATAAAGTCAACGTAATTTAACAAACAAATAATCGGAAAAATATATTTCAACATTGTGTATCATCAACAGACTTAGATGCAGTGTGATATCTTTTAGAATCAGATAATAATCTGCAATCTCTATAACAACACAACATTTTTATAATACAAAGGAGTTGCTATAGGACAGTATATCAATAGATTATATATTTTTGTATCCTGCCTTCTAAAGCATCCCAATTCAGAGCTGTGACTGAAGAGAACCACAGACAAACATGGCAGCATCAAAGAACGCGGTCTGCACCATGCACTCTTATCAGTTTTATTATCTTCCCATGGCAAAATAGGAGATATGTTTTCTTTTAGTTTAGAGAGATCTGATAACTTCTGTGATTAGAACAGGAACATTGATTAAAATCAGGTCACTCATTAATTTAACATAATGACAGGGTATAGGCACTACCTTTTGAATAAGCAATTAAAAAGAAGGAAAATATCGAAGATGATTCTTAGGGAAATACTGGTAAACAACTGACCTTTATGTACTATAAATGAAATTCAAGCTAAGCATAATTTATCTTTGTTATTGCAAAAATTTTATAGTCAGAAACATGACAATTAGGTATAATGTTTTTTTTTCTTAATAGATGAAATAACTAATAACAAACAAAAAAAAGGGGGGGGGGGATAAACAAGAAAGCCCTATTGCAGATCAGGTAATCCACAATCTCACATCTTTTGTCTGTAGAATATATGTGCATTTTTTCTTCTACTAGACAGGTTTATCTGAGGAAAAAAGAAAGGCAGAGTGAATTTAGTCCTGGAGAAATGAAATGTAAAGCAAGACCTGAAAAACAGTTAAGCAATATACACTAGGTTATCTTATTGCTTATATTGTAGCAACCTAATTTATTTCTATCATCTACCCCGTTGTTTAATTATAGGTATAAACTAGGCACAATTCAAGAACTATATAATGTCAATGAACATTACCTACATTTTATATTTATTGATGGTGCAGTATTCCGAATAGCAATTTGTGGATAGACCTTGGACTACCAGCCCGAAAGGGGCATTTTCCAGCTGCTGTCAGCGTTGTTTGTTTGTGACAGGTTCTGTTCGTGCATCCCTTCATGTTAGTGCTTAAAAGACACATCTTCACATACTTGAAAGCACAGGCATGTTTAAATGTTTATGGAATGAGAGGAATTTTTTAAAGCTTCCTCTAAAAGACTGTTAGTGGGAATTTGCATGTTGAAGTATACATGCTGCAGGTACAAACAATTTTTAAAACTGGCTATTGAAAACACACTAGCACCCTAATATATATCATATTCACAAGAAAATGTTCTTTATGTGTGCTTATCCTGGAGTAAGTAAAGCAGCCCTCGTCAGAGCTGCTGTCCCACAATGAACATGCAGGGTCATGTCCTGTGTGTAAAGGTGGGCGAGGGCTCTATTCCAGATGTTGGGGGTTAAAAATATCCACTGAATCACTTTGTGTCTCTTGAGAGACAGTAGTTAGTGGCTGAAAGCTGACATCTTCGTATTCTTAAATCTGTTCTTAAACACAGTTTGCATAAGTGACCGGAGCTCCTGATTTTGCAAAATCAAATAGTTGGTTCGGTGATGGTTGAGGTTCGCTTACTCACCTTTGCACAGAAAAGAACTGGAAAGATGCTTGCAGACGCTTACTGTCTTACTTAATAAGTGGTCTCTTAAAACACTTCTGTGCTTAACCACTGCATAAGGCTTTCTGCTCTGTCTTGGGCACAGTTCTCTCTGAGGTGGTATGTGTATGTATGGGGAAGAGGGTGTTCAAATCTTAAGTGATCGCCTGAGGAAGACGATGGCAGACTGTGCAGTATCTCTGATTGGTGCTATTTTACTCACATCCGGCTCTGAGTTAGGTGTAAGGCTGCCCCTTCTCCTCTCCTCCAGTGCAAAGTTAATCAAGTTGGTATAAACTACTGGTGATTCCCATAACACAGCGTGGAAGGGAAGCCGAGTGCACTGAGCCAGGTAAAGGTAGCTCTCACCGGTGACGGATTTCAGTTGCTTTCTCCAAGGTAAGACTGGTGCCTGACCATGTGAGCTTCTCCTCTACCTTGTTTTAACGCAAACTATCAGTAAGTTAGAATCACAGAACCATAGAACAGCCCAGCTTGGAAGTGACCTCAGAAGATCATCTGGTCCAACCTTTCATGGGAAAGTGAGCCTAGATGAGATTATCTAGCACCCTGTCCAGCTGCATCTTGAAAACCTCCGGTGATGGGCACTCTACCACATCCCTGAGGAGGTTGTTCCAGTAACTGATTGTTCTGACTATAAAAAATTTCTTTATTATATTGAGATGAAACCTCTCCCGGTGCAACATGTACCTGTTGCCTCTTGTCTTCTCCATGTAGCTCTTTGTGAAGAGAGCGCCTCTATCTTCTTTGTAGCCCCACTGTAAGTACTGGAAAAGTGTGATGAGGTCAGAAAACTGCGTGAGTTAAGCTCACCTGTTCAATGCTGCACTGGGAGGGAATGGGATAGAGACATTCACACTTTCAGGGATAGCTATGAGCAATGTAAGTAGTAACTGCCTCCCTGCTGTTTGGTACCACCTTCCCTCCGTCTTCAGCAGAGATGATGGATGCACTGTATGTTAGCACAGCTAATGAAGAACACACATCCAGCATCTACAGGCATGATGACATGGGCTGTGGATTGAGAGTGGAGGTGGTGAGCTGTGTCCACATCCCATGGGTTACCCTAAAGAGTGAGCTTCCCTCAGGTGTGCCACCCATTACTGGTACTTGCTAGGGCTGCATTGACAAAGTGCAGAAATCCACAGCGTATGAGAAATGTGCAGTGGATGTTATCCATGCAGCAGCGACCATCTGTGCTGGCTAGGTGGGCCCCGTCACTCCTCCCAGTGACAGGAGAAGGCCGTGTGCCACTTTGCCCACACCACGTGCCAGGATTTAATGTGTACGCCCGGTAGTCGTGCCACCGCCTCTCCCTCCCCCAGGAGCTGGCTGCTCCCAGCAGCACGACTTCTGAAGTTGTTCTTGTGTATGTGGTGTCCTGTATATGTGTGTTTTTACGAAGAGTGGTTACTGAGTGCTAGCTCCCTTATACTGTAACTGTACACGTTACAGGCTCGTCAGAGGCAGAGCAGATGCCCTATGCAAGTGAAGGAGCTTGTTACAGTTTGTCCAGCTGTGTTTGGTCTGTGAAGGACGGTGTTTTCAGGACTACTGGAGGAAGTCTTCACTGTAAAGAGGCCTGGCCATGCCTTTTAGATGGTTAGCTCTCATTTTAAATGCAGAACCCGCTTTTAGCACGGACTTTTCCCATTTGTAATTTCCCTCATCTGTTCTGCAGTTTTTCAGGACTGCTT